TGTCCTACTAGAGCAAATGAAGCTTCAAGACGCTTTGCGCTGGGGTGAACCAGTTGGATGAAAAGCTTCAGTGCTTCACGAAGCTTCATCTGCCCATCACTACTGAACAGCAAACATAAACACAAACATGAAGGAAGGTGAACAGATGAACACACGGTTGAAACACAGACAGACCAGCAACCTGCACACGAGAGGACACGACTTAAATACACACAGAAGAACACCGGGAGATTATACACAGGTGGGGAACACAGCTGGAAGTAATTGACGAGACGAGACAAGAGAAGCTAAACTGAATACATTCACATAAGACATGGACTTTCACAATAAAACAGGAAACAAGAAGCAACTACACAAAGACCCAGACTAGACACTAAACTAAACCTACAGGAATCACGAGGGCACCAGAACAAAACCTACATTAAACATGAGACACAAAACCTAAGAACCAATCCCTTAACAAGAATAAACAGAAACATAGAATTCTACTAATAACCAACAAAGCACAAGAATCAGAATACAATCCAAAATTAAACCAAAACATAAAAACTCAAAATGCTGGGTCAAAATGACCCAGAACCGTGACACCTTACTTTTTTCATGTTTGTCAAATAAAGGATGGTTAAAATTCTTTGAGCCTTTAAAAAACACACCTGCTAGATGTGGATGCGAGTGGCAAATCTTGCACCACATTTCAGTGCGCTCATTGTTAGCTTCAAGCCACGGCACATCTTGGAGCCACTTTTCTGAAAAAAGTCTTTTCTCTGGCTCCGGTTGGTGTTTCTTAGCTAGTGGCGGCACACCAAAGAAGCTGCTTAATGTCTGTTGTTTTTTGGACATTTAGCTGGTGACAAGCAACACATGTAAGGTTAAATGAGACAGTCAAGTACGCAAAGTGTCACTACGCATTCCTAATTTTTGTCACGCATGTGTGCCTGCGTACCAGTTATGTGCACCCCTGTCTATAACACACAGCCAAACAACTACTCACTCAATAACTATTATCAAATTATCATATCTATTCAACCTAACATACATGGTTTAGGTCATTGGGAGGAAGCTGGAGTACCTGGAGAAAACGCACACATGCACAATTAAAAATGCAAACTCAGCCAAGGCTTTAAACCAGAACCCTTCTGGCTGTGAGACAACAGTTCTAACCACCACACTACTGTGCCACCCATAGTAATTCATATTATAATTGATAATATAGGGACAGAAGTATGTCCTGGAATACAAATAACATATTCCACAATCTGTATTTACTTACCTAATTCTCTCCCCAACAATCAACAACACAAATTCTCCCAGCCCCCAGAAAAACTGAGGTATCATTCCCACACTGTTTTGCATTTACTCTGTCAAGTTTGTCGTTATAACTAATAACTAATGCAAGAAAATGGCATGTTTCTTTAAGGTTTTGTTCTGCGTGTTCATAATGCTTATAACTATGGAAGAAATATAGTATC